CAGTTTGAGCCTCTTCACCATCGGTGGTTAGTGCATAAACTTGCATTACTGTGATGTTGAAAGGTCTGCCTTGGATTAGTATTGAAATCATTATATCATTTTTGAAATTATATCTCAGTATTTTCCCACTCTTTTGTTGACTATGAGGGCTACTCCATTTCTTCTACGGGATTCTTGACCACAATAGTAGATATGATAATCGTCTGAATTGAATTCACCCATTCTCATCTATTTTAGTTCACTGACACCCGGGATGTCAATGTTTATTCTTGCCATCTCCTGTTTGACCACATCCAGCTTACCAAGGTTCATATACAGTGGTGCCTCGCATAGCGAGGTTAATCCGTTCCGGATTAACCTTCGCTATAGCGAAACATCGCTAAACGGAATTTAAAAAGCCATAGAAATGCATTGAACTTCGTTCAATGCGTTCCTATGGCTTTAAAACTCACCGTTAAGCGATGTTCCTCCATAGCGCCGCCATTTTCGCACCCTTGGTAAGCGAGGGCAGGGCGCGAAAGTGCGGCGCGGACCTTCCAGTGGCCATTTTGGAACCACCGATCAGCTGTTCTCCCCCGCTTCGTTATGCGATATTCGCTAAGCGAATTGCTTAGCGAATATCACAAAGCGAAAAATCGCCATAGCGGCCATCGCTCAGCGAATGCTCCAGCGATGGTCCAGAGCGCCTCGTTAAGCGATTTCATTGCTCAGCGAGTCGCTCGTTAAGCGAGGCACCACTGTATTCGATTCACATCCAGCTTACCAAGGTTCATATATATGCGATTTTATATTCCAGGTTTCTATGTAGTATTTTTCTTCGCAGTATCGGACTTTCCTTTCACATCCAGGCATGTCCGCAGCTGAGCATCCTTTCGGCTTTGGCCCAACCACTTCATTAGCTGTGGAGCTACTTGTACTTGTTCTCCGCTCTTCCTCAGTAGCATGTTGGACGCCTTCCGACCTGAGGGGCTGACCTTCCAGCATCATATCTTTTAGTCTTTTGTTTTTGTTCATAGGGTTTTCTTGGCAAAGATACTGGAGTGGCTTGCCAGTTCCTGCTCCAGGTGGATCACGTTTACTCAGAACTCTCCACCATGACTTGCCCATCTTGGGTGTTCCTGCATGGAATAGCCCATAGCTTCTCTGAATTACTCAGGCCCCTTTGCCATGACAAGGTAGCAATCCATGAAGGCGTCTCTCAAAATAGGTGTTTCCAAATGGGCTTTGGATGTGTGTTTGATCCTAAAACTGTGTGACAACATTCAAGGATTAGTTTCTAATGCCCGGTAGAATGGGTACACTATTTGAAGCAACATATGTTAGAATTTTCCAAGACTCGCTGTCTTGAGCATTCTTATTGCACAATAAGGTAGTACTTATATTAAAAGATATTCTGTATTAATATTGCACCTTATGGGGTTATCAGTGTTTTTACATGTACGGCAAATGAAAAACCATTAAACATACCTGTGGCCAAATTCAGTGCTGCAGTAATGGTTATTCGTAACAGATGTTTGGGTAGGTGATTTTAGATGGACAATATAATATTTTAATATAACACTGCCTGAGGTTTTACCTATATTAGGGATATATTATGTTATTAATTGGAAAGAAGGGGTTGTTTTATCATGTTTTAATGGGATTTTTTTACCCTGCCCGACTTTACTAAACAATAATTATATGCATCTATTTTATATTGGTTTTATATTGATATGGTTTTACTGGTCTTTTACCATAATAAAGTATACTACTACTTTTTTTTTCTATTGGATTTCCACAGGGAAATTCCATCACCCTAGTTGGGAGCAGAATGGCAGAACTGTACAAATTTCAGGATGTTGTGCACATGACACTGTGGTTATGTTCGGAGTCATTGAATAAGCACAAATAAAGGATGCCAAAGGTGGCATAATTTGTGAAACAGAAAACCTGATAAAACACTCCTTTCTTCAATTTAATCACAAGGATTTGTTCAACAACAACAAAATCCAGTCAGCATAAATAAAATAGTTATTTTCATACTTGTTCTTTGTTCCCAAGCCCCTATGTTAACCACTGAGTTAGAAATAATATCTTTATGAATCTTCACTTATTGTTCAAGAGTGGTATATTAAATCCACTGAACAACATTATATCTGAAATGCTCTGCGCTGGTTTTTGTTGTTGTTTGTTTTGTTTTTGTTTTAAGTTTTAATTTATGAAATCAAGCAAACAGAATGGGACATGTCATATTTAGCTTTCCTGCACTACAGTACTTCTATAGCCAGGTTCAATTGTTTGGAAATCCTCATGTTTTCTAAAAATGAAGAATCCAAGCAAAGATTTTAGGCTTGCGTAAAATATTGGTTGAGCACAATGGCTGGGAGGGAGGTAAATCAGCCTATTGTTACCTTATGAAAAATAGAGGGGAGGGATCTTTAAAATCTCTGTTCATTTTCGTCATTAACACATATTTATGTGCACTTGCATTCTTCAACCAAGCCACAATTTCATGGAGAAATACATGTCCGTATGGATCATTTTCGATAAAAGAAATCTTCTTTCCAACTCCAACCCCCCTGACTAAAGGAATCTTAGTGTCTCATCTTACCCAGACCCGGAGCAACCTGAAACCATGGCAAACATTTCTGTCAAATTCTACTCATCTGTCAAAGTAGTGGATTATTTCTTGAGAGACTGAAATTGGCTGCCTGGAATCAGAACACCATCAATCTTACTCATGCAGGGTGCAGGCTGGCTGCCTCAGAAAGTCTCACAAGAGGAAAAGCTCTGCTGTTCCTAAACAGGTGATGAGGCAGCTCTAAAACCTTCACTCTGTCTGTATCATAGACCCTTGCAAAAGATATGTCATATTTCCCATTTCACTAGTACTTTGTATGCATCCGGTGTCATACTCTTCCAGCCTCATCAAGGAGGTGATTTTTCAAGCTTAGGCAAATGCTGAAAACCACCAGAAAAGCTATCCTTCATTTTTTTTTCTCGTCATGTCACTTGTTTCAACTGATTGTGCAAAAATGAGATTACATTTTCTGTATGATTGTTTATTTATTGAGCAGCTTGTTTGTCTATTGTGCCATCACTGGTGTCCTTTCAAAGATACCGGTTCTAACCCTCTTCTATTTCTATAGGCGTTTTGTATAATTCACTTAATGACTCCCAAGAAACAGATCCAGACTAGTCATTCTCTCTCCTAAAAATTAAAACCACTATCACTGAAGCAAGAACACATACACCGTTGATCAAATTTTCAAAATGCAAAATATGGAACATAAGACTGTAGTTAGCTGAATCTTCTGTTCCACCAGCATTATGGACCATGATCCTGATGACATGAAACTATGAACATATGTGGCAGAAGTTCTTGACTAAAATTAAGCTATTATTTTGTGGTCTTCTGTTGTTGTTTAGTCGTGTCCGACACTTCGTGACCCCAGAGCACGCCAGGCCCTCCTGTCTTTCACTGCCTCCCGGAGTTTGGTCCAAAAAAATTTTTTTTGTGGCCTACGGAAAAGCTAAGAGATAGCACAGACACACAGTGGCTGAAAGTATATTTTATTTTGTAATAAGTCATAACTAGAGTAGTCTCCTTAATCAATAACTACAGTAGTCTCCTTAATCAATAAATCCTACGTAGAATTTGACTCACCAAATTACTACTGATTCAGAGTGCCTATTCTAGTGCAACTTACTACACTAAACAATAGCATTTTACCTTGGTCATTCATAGCAAATTCAAAAGACTTATAACTGAATTTTCTCTCTCATAGAGTCACAGTAACATTCTTAAGATTGTAACTGGTTCCCAAACTTTGGTCCTCAGATCTTGGACTACTATAGATCTACTATAGATCTACTACTACTACTCCCAGAACTCCAAGTTAGCCTGGTCCATGGTCAGGGATTCTGGAAGACATAGTCCAACAAACATCTGAAGTGCCATTCGGTTTATAGTGTATAATCCCATTATTTCACCCACCAGTACTCACATGTTCCTATTGTTTGTTTTCAGATAACAAAAAGTCCTACATAATTACTATCTTTCACCTTTGAAACTCTAAAAAGCCCAATCTAAAACAAGTGTCCAGTAGATCAGCCTTTTAGCATTTGTAAATTCACTGTGTAGGAGTGGACCACTTCTCAGATAGTAAACCTATGGTGCAAGTTCCAGATAAAGAGGCACTACATACCTTCAAACAAAAACATTGTTCACCTTATCACATCCCACCCTGTAAAGGTCACAAGGAGCACTTTTTGACAAATGTAGGCCAAATCTCCCTGCTATTTATGGCAGTGCATGCACTATGTAAAGAATAAAGAGTTCCATAGGATGTTGAAGGCCTGCACCCCCAGGCATACTGACCTAGAAGAAAGCCCACAGAACAGAATGAGACTTACTTCTGAGCAAATATGTGTAGGATCATCCTCCAACTTCCCTCCCCCATATTCTGGAACAGATTTCGCACACTGTAGTCACATAACTACTTATCATATTTTCTTTAAATTTTCCCCCCTCCCACACAAAATTCCCTTCAGTCTGAACATAAGATCTCACACAAACATTGGGCTCTTCGGTATCCAAGCACCAGCCTTTTTATGTATGTCCTGCAGTGTGGGCAACTGGTGCCTCAGTTAGCAAATGTACAACAAATCAGAGTGGTCTAACTTATACACCCTTATGATTTGTCTCACCGCTTACACAAACGGAGAAAAAAAGAAGCAACTGTGAGGTAAATGGGTTTTGCATGATGACCCTTTGAAGAAACCATTAGGGGAGGAAAAGCCTACTGAAATTGGCAGTTTATATCCATACCACATGATCAAATAATATATTGAGTACAGTGTCATACAGGCAAGGAATTCGTAGAATTTCAGGGGCAGAGCACATTACACATAGTCCGTAATATACATACTCTTACATGTAGCTATGCATCTTTGTTCTCTTCCAGAATGACAAAGAGGCTGCATGTAACAGCAGCTATCCACCATGTGACTGCTCCTACCTGGTCTGTGCAGATGATGCTGCTGAAAAGTGTGGTGAAGGGACCCTTGACAGAGCAGCATGGCGCAGGCACTTATCCACAAATACAGGACCCAGGACATTGCAGAGACCATGGCCATTCTCTAAGGAAATATTAGACAAGAATTAACACACGCGGAGAGCAAGGAAATCAACATTCTGCCTCCCATTCTGTGCTCTCTGGCATATTACCATGTCAGAAGGGGACAAATCACACTCTTTTCTTCCCATTTCCATCCCTTCTTTCACACTGCAGTTGCCCTGTGATGAGGAGCTTGTCCAAAGGAGCCACAGAAAGATGTTTGCTTCTAGTTTAACTTTTAGTAATTCAGAGGCATAAATGAAACTGTTGCTAAAGGAAGCCTTGCGGCAGCCAAGATGCGTCCGGCGCAGTAGGGCTGAGCTTACAAGAACTCGTGTCACAATAAATAAGTTAGTGTTGGAGATCCTACAGGACACGGGTAAGACAGAAACCAAGCCAATCTCGAGTCCTTGCTGTTTACTCTTTAAAAAGGTGAGAAAAGGGTGTTGTTGTTTTTAATTTAAAAAAAATATGCTATATATCTTTTCTGCCTGGATAGAGAAAATGGCATGTGAAGGATAAGCCTTTGAGATTTAAGCCACCCAATACCCTTGTAACTACATGAAGCATCGCAGCTGCATCTCAGGCCATCATATATTATCACCTTCTGTTGACCAGGAAAAATTGAGCGACGCCACCGGAAAGCATCTTTTGCCTCTGACCATCCCATTTCACAATCTTAAAAAGCCTGTTTAATGCAGACACCAAAACTCTAAGGAGGATGGGCAATCTCAGAACTTCATAAAGCATGCTGTAAATAGTAACTTGACATTCCTCGCCAAGACACATTTTGAATACACTCTCCCTTCACAGTCCAGCAAATCCAATATCTCTCCTATAAGGAGCTGCATTGTTTTTAACTTCCGAGTCTATTAATTTTTCATTGTAATGTTGTCTGCTAAGCAAAGGAACTATTTCTCAGAAGAATCCTGTTCTTCTAGCTCTCCCATTTGTCTTCTTTTTATTCAACCCAGGCTCAGTCTAAAGAACTTTGCTAAGATGATCATGAATTTCAGAGGGAGAAGAGAAAGGAAAGAAAATGCCCTCTTTACAAATCAAACTGAATCGAAAATTGGAAGGAATTCCTGAAGCAAGAGATATCTTTTTGCCAGTGGTGACATCTGGCATTGTTTGACTCTACTGTGAAACAGATAATTTCTATACCGTGTTGCCTATATTCATATGTACGCCTCTTTCTGTGTGTTAGTTATCCATAAACTTTACAAAGCCTTTGAAGAGTGCCAGTTCTCGAAGGCTTGGCCATGGACCGTCCAGTTCTTTTAACAACACCTTCTGCTGCAATTGCATATTGCCAGCTTAATCAAACTTCAGGCTCTCTTCCTTAGTCAGCCAATGACAAAGTGGTGTTTTCTATCTAATAATCCAACCCGCTGAACATCCTTCTCCACCCCTACCCCACTCAACCCTCAGCAGACGGGAGAAAAAAGGCTTGGAGGCTCAAATCAACCGCTTTTCTTCCTCAGTATGAAGAACGGACTCTTTCTGTGCAGGTTGAGCTTAGATTACAAAAAAAGAGAGGCACAGCTGACCTATTGTCAGGATTTGCTCAGGGCGAAGTGCAGCCCTCCTCGGATTAGCAGCATTTGGTGTCAAGAATACGGTTGTAACAACAACAGCTACAACTTCTTGTTGTTAGTTGAGGCGTGATCTCTGTGAACGAGGTTCTTTTGGAAAACAGACAGGACTGAATGGCTTGAACACCTCTCCCCCCCCCCCAGCAAATGGCAAAAGATAATTTTCACCAAAGGGATGCTATTTAATCTTCTCTTCTGTGTCTCTGAGGTCCTTCTTCCTTATAATAAATTCTTGTTCGTCCTCTGGTGCTGGTATCCTTCCTTCGCCTCTCTCCCTGCTCACATTCAC